TTTTGACCTTTGATGACCTCTGGTGACCCCAATATTGCTCTAAGATGAAAAATGACTGAAATACTTTCAAACGTACGCATTGAGAGCTATCGACTGCTTTTTACCGCGTCCTTCTAGCCCTCTTAGTTTTTGAGTTAGAGGTGGGTGGTAACACATGCCCCCCCTCACTAGGGCGAAGTTGGCTGAGACCGCCACTGGGGCGCGGGTTAATCAATTTTACACCTACCCTAAAAATTGCATGACCCTGACCCTGAACGACCGTTGACCTGTGACCTATTCCTCGAGACCATTTTTGCCCGGAATCGCGATTCAGCGTGTCAGCTCACATTATCCGCGCGTTTCCAGTCTTTTTGTGATTGGAAACGTCTAAACATGTGAATGATGTTCGTCCCATGCATTACGGTGGGTGTCAAGGTCACCGGAAGGTCAGGTCAGGTCATTGACCTTTCATGACCTCGTCCCTCTGCTCACTTCTTGGAGTTTTACATGTTTCTATGATGTTATTTTTTGGGCTGATTTCGAATTAAGGAACCATTTGAACATTTACAAAGTATTTAGTTTTAGTGCCTTTGTAACATGTTACGCCGCCGCATTGGAAGTTGACACCTACTATGGATAGGCGGCAGGACGCCTACTGGTTGATCTGACCTGACCTGACCCGACTTGGCCTAAATGCATGAAGTGATCACAACTAACAAGAAATAGTGATCAGCAACCCGAAAAACAAATACAGCTTCACTTTACGAAGCTTTAGCAGGTCACAATTTTCCCGACCTTTGGGCCATTGACCTGATCTGGAAGGTGAACCAATGACCTAGGTCCTTAAACTTGGGTATCATCGGCTTCCTCCCATCACGAGCAACACACTCGTTTTTTCTGCGAAGCACTATCTCGGAGGGGGTCCAACCGACCCCCCCCCCCCCCTCTACACGCTAGACGCTGGAAAAAGCCGCACACGGCGGCGGCGACGGTCCCGGTCTGCTGGCCGCTGCTGGCCTAGCCATGGCCAGCACAGAAACAGCGTTATTCTTGGCCACTGCGATTGATGCTCTTTGTGCTAGCGTTTGTTTTGCGTTTGTCTCGTTTGTTTGTTGACGCTTGTCGCGTTTGTCTGTTTCGCGTTTGTCTCCGGTGTGGGTTGTCGGCCTACGGCCAAGCTTCTTCATGGGATTCGTCATGATCCGAATTCACCAGCACCCAAACCTGCCAACTTTTCTCGGAATGAAAGCGATCATGGAACCGGGGATGAAAAACATCTGGCGACACGGGCTGGTGTCTAGCAGCGTGGATAGGCTTTACCGCGTAGCACTGAAGTCGAGCGGCACAGTCTACCAGTATACCAGGCGGCTGCTGTCAGTGCGTATGTATGTATGTACTTACTTACGTACCTGACCGGTGGATAAAGAGTTCCTACCGATCAACTCGTAATCGATCGTATGTAAGTACATAACTACGAGTGGCACCTGCGATTTTTTTAGTTGGTAGTTTAACCCGCGCGGCTGGGGTCTCCAGCCGAACGCGCGGGGCTGGGGGGGTAAATTTTACCCCCCCTGTTATCTCCCGAACTAATGGTCCGATTTGAAAAATTCAAACGCCAATCGAAAGATCTCATCACGAACAACTAAAAACATGTACTTAATTTTAAGTTTGAGGTCAAGGTCAAGGTCAGGTCAAGGGTACAAATTGCAAGTTCCTACAGTATCGGCCTTGCACCGTAGTTGCCGAAGAATGGAGTCATGGACTGAGACTGATCGCCCAAAACGTGTTCTTAGGCTACCAAGACAATATTCGTTGCATACAATATCATTCAGAGGTCAAGGTCAAGGTCAGGTCAGGTCAGATAAGGTCACCAAAAACAAAATATGGAAAAGGGCATGTGCGACACATGTTTTATGGGTGATTTTACTCATAGAATTCAATAGGCACACTCAATAAGTGATATGGACCACCTCTGGATGAATTTCAGGTCGAGGTCAGGTCAAGGTCAGGTCAAGTGAGGTCAAATTTTGAAGTTGGTTGCTAAGGCCTAAAAAGGTGTCTATCTGATGCAGTTTTTCACGGAGAGTCGAATGGTGCTATTTTTGTTTCCGTACGAGGTCTAGAACTTCCAAAAAAGTCATTTTTCAAAATTTTTGTGTGTCGTGACGTCATACAATTTTGAATAACTCCCACATTTTTGAACCGATTCTTCTAAAACTTGGTATGTAGGTACACATAGACCACTTCTCTGACATATATTCCGGTTTTTTTGATACACTCAAAATTTTGGATTTTATAGCTATTTTCCCAAAAAAGTCAGTTTTTTGGAAAAATTTGGGCCAAAATCCAAAATTTTCAAAAAACCGAGATAGCCATTTGATAGACAAAGTAGAATTACGTATATCCTTTTTTGTTACGTCTTGATTCCTTTAAAAATGAAGATGTTAGCGGCGTTTGAACTTTTGCCGTTTTTGAGGCGAAAATGGCGAACATGACGTCACTAAAACGTCAATTTCTCAAAAATTTTCCGACGGATTTCGCTCAAATTTTCAGGGAACGTGTCAAATTGATGTAAGAAAAGGTACTGAAAGTTTGGCGGCGCTGCGCGCCGCCGTTTTTGAGATATTGCAAAAATTCGCGAGGGGGGGGTAAAATTTACCCCCCCCCCCAGCCCCGCGCGGGTTAAGAAGAGAGTTTTTGATTGGCGATCGAATTTTAGAAGCCGCTTCGATAGATCTCGAGATCCCTGGTGAGAGCCGATTACGACCCCCCCCCCCCTCGGCCCCCCGCCCTGGCACTAATAGGGGTATCCAGTATCCTGCCACTTATAGTGTTAACCCGGCCGGGCCCGGGGGAATCCCAACCACCTCAGCCCGGGGGACAATATTTACCCCCCCCCCCCTGTCTAACTCCGTAAATATAGGAGCCACGGAAACAAAAATGGTACCAAACGAAAGGTCTCTATGAGTCGATTCCAAAGCATCTAAACATTTTTACCTTAGGTCAAATTTCAAGGTCAGAGGTCAAGGTCAAAGGCAAAAGACGGCACATGTGTAGTGACCTTAAACTAAGTGCTCCAGAGGACGGCAGAATGCATGAAACAGGTTAAAACGGGTGGGAACTCACAGAAGAGAATCTGAGGAAAATGGAGATGTGCACAAACCCCCAGGTCAAGGTCAAGATCATGCTCAAAATTGACCTCAAACTTTGCACTTTTTCGTATATCTTGTACACTAATTTCCAAAATGTTTTGAAATATTCTGAAGGATATCATGCACCTATTTGTGATTTATGTTACGATAAAAGGCTGCCCAAAGGTCAAGGTTGGGCAAGAGTGTCCTTGCTAAAGGCTATTCCACTGAATGCGTTGGTACCACTGCCTTAGCTCTACGGCCATTTTTGTTGAAGTTATTTCCGAAAAAGTAAAATTCCAGCTCGGAGTCGCTGACCTGATCTCTGACCTCAGATCACCATTTATATTTTTACCCAACTCATATGCTACACAACCGTGCTAAAAAATTGTCTCTAGCTCTAAGACTCTATTCTTGGCAGCTGTTTGAAGTTCACGTCTGTGACGTCGAAATTTGTCGTGCAAGGGTCTATGAAAATCGGCCCTGTGACGTCATCAATGGGGCTGGGTCCAAACTTTTTATTCCAGGAGATGTGAAATTGATGGGGGAAAGGGTAATGAAAGTTTGGTGCCTCCTCCGCAAAGCGCTCAGGAGCTATCGCAAATATTTGTCAGGGGGGGGGGGGGTAAATATTGTCCCCCCGGGCCCGCGCGGGTTAACCCTATTCCGGGCGGGGGGGGGGGCTTTAAGGCCCCCCTTCAGGTTTTTCTTGTGCCATTGCCAAACGCCGCAAGACTGAAAACTCATACTCGGTGACTTTTTCTGAACATTCATTGTGCACATTTTGACAAAAAAAGTTGCCGGGTCAGGTCAGGTCAGGTCACCAGAGGCGGTTTGGTGACCCCACCTCAGAAAAGTTTGCAATCACGCCAGAGCTAGAGTTTTTGAGGGATCAATTTCTTCTCTTCAGGTTTTAGTTAAGGTACCAGTATGTGCGATTTGTATATCTCAGAACTTTTATATCTGTGACCTGAGGTCAGGCCAGACTCATGACCTTTACATTGCAAGCCTACGGGAAAATATTGAAACGCCTCCTGCTTCGTGTAAACGAGTCAAAACAACCCAATCCTTTCAGTATTATGGAAGATTATCTCATCGGTGATGATCTTGGTGCCGCTAATTGACAGGGGGACCGGGAAAGGTCATCTGAGGTCATGTGACGTCATAAATCGTTTTTCTGTCAATAAATCACGACATGATGGTGCTAAAGACTTGTAAGTGGTACCAAACTGCTCGCCTGGTCAAGGCGCGTCGTTTGATATGCAGCATGACCATACCCCACAACCTCATTGATGAATGACCTGACCTTGACCTCGGGTCAAATTTCAAATTGACCTGTGAAGGTCATCGCATACTTATTTCGAATCGCCTCGATGAGAGCAACAAAAAATGTATTAATTTTATGTCTCTATGTGTCTTAGTTTAAAAGTTATATAGGTAACTAATTCCAAACCATTTTATCGTTGATGACCTCTGGTGACCTCAATATTGACCTGACCTGAAAATGTTTTCTGTAAAAGTTGTAGATCTTTAAACGACTTATCAAACGCCGTTTGCCGTTTGTCGCTGCGATGTGTAGTTTTTGAGATCTGAAGGGGGGCCGAAAAGGCCCCCCGCCCAGAATCGAACCTTTCAGAGCCCGCCCGGAATAGGGTTAAGGTGTGACGGATTCCCTCTTCTGTGTGTGTTGAACTCAAACCTAAGACCATTCCATAGAATTTGTCTTATTTTAACGCGTTAAGCTTGTTATGCTCCTTCGTGTCTACTTATCGTGGGAATAATCCGATTCCATTAAATCGGCATTGGCTTTCGGCGTATCACTGTGGACAAGCACGAAGCCGTACCAAAAGATGAAGCCCTATACCCACGGCGGCCGGGAATAACTTAAGTAAGAGACTCGCAGCACACACAATGAGTCGCACCTGTGCTCTGCTCGGAAACGCTCGGCTAGACCTCCAGCCCGACAATGGACGGCCTCAACGAGAGCACGCTGCCCACCCATCTTCCTCTCAGGTATGTGAATAGTTATGTGAATATCTTATATATAGGTTTAAATAGAAATACATTATAAATGGGTATATATATATATATAGGACATAGATGGACATAGGTATGTGAATAGGTATTGTCTGAACTGCTGACCTGCTGAGCCCCCGCCGAGTGTTGTGTTTGCATGCACGCATAACCAATACCGAGCGATCATCAGAAACTGATAGATACAATAGAGGCCAATGTCAAAAGTCGTAGAGGCTGCTCAAAGTTCCATGAATGAATAGTGGTGTGGTTTATCCCTTAGTCATACCTAGAGAAGCCTTTCAGTGAGCATAGATAAATATGTATGTGCCCGAGTTAATCAAACTTGCCAACGTCTTCTCTGAATGACATCTAGTTAATTCTTATATGAAATTTCCGACATCAAGCTGGTTCGTATGTCGTCACCACCATAAATCTAACCAAATTAAGTAGGTATGCCTACCAATTGTTGTTAGCTACAATGAAAACTTATGCAATATGTATAGCTACCGCCAATGTTCCCTTTACCGCCTTTTAATTATATGCCGGTCAGTGGATTTAACCCGCGCACCAGTGGCGGTCTCAACTTCGCTCTAGTGGGAGGGGGGGGGGGGGGGGGGCATATGTTACCACCCACCTCTAACTAAAAAACTAAAAGGGCTAGAAAGACGCGGTAAAAAGCAGTCGATAGCTCAGTCTCAATGCGTACGCTTGAAAGCATTTCAGTCATTTTTCATCTTAGAGCAATATTGGGGTCAGCAGAGGTCGTCAAAGGTCAAAATTTGCGAATTGTCATTATATTTTTCAGAAGACATGCCGTTATCTCAAAAACTATGATAGCTAGAAAAACGCATGGAGAAGCAATCGATAGCTTTTGAACTCTTCTTTTGATAAGGTTATTATCAAAAATGACCGTAGGTCAACGGCTTAGCCTCCAGAGGGCAAAAGCTCGAAAAATGGCTGTTTTTACGAAAAGTGTTTTTCGACAATAACTTTCGACTAAAAAAGCCACGACATTTCTATTGCCAGAATCGTGTTCCTCTCGCCGAGACGCGTCGAATGAACTATGATTTGACCTTGAAAGGTCAACTTGAAAATTTGACCTCAGGTCAAGGTCATGACCTGACCGGAAAAGGTCATGTTGCATATTAGTCGATGCGTCTCGGCAAGACAAACACAATGAGGCCATCCCCAGCGTTCTATCTCTTTCCAATCGAGAGTTATTGGCAAAAATCTGTTTGTAGCCTCAAATGACCTCGGATGACCTTTCTAGAGGCTATCGGCAAAAAAGACACCTTGGTCATCACGGGTGGTCCAAATCATTGTGATTCTGAAATATTTGGACTGTTCCTATGCGTACACACGGATCTAGAGGTATTTTCGTTTTTCTCCATTGACTTGTAATGGAAAGGTCACGCCACTGGCCTGACCTTAGGTCACGGATATAAAAAATCCGAGATATACAAATTATAGGCGCCCATCCATAACATCATGCAATCCACCAAGTTCAAAACCTCTCTGACAAACACTGCAGGCTGGACATGATTGCAAACTTTTTTAGGCTTGGTTAGTTAACTTGACCTGGTGACCTGACCTGACATGACCTGGGGTCAAAAATTTCACAAATTGTCCAAAATTGATGCACAAAAAGCTGCCCCAAGCGGCGCGGCGCTACAGGCCGTGGTTTTTTATTCACACGCAAAAAAACACGACAGGGTGGTAACATATGCCCCCCCCCCCCCCACTGCACTGGGGCGAATAGACCGATCAAAGCATAAGGACAAATTTGTAATTTATCTTATATTCCCCGTATAACTAATAGCAGGGCTGCAACGTCGATGGATTTTCGGTGATTCCGACTCTGACAAAGACTCACGATTTCGGAAATCCATTCCGACTCCAGCTGCGGCTCCAGCTGCTAGATATAAAGTTCATGTGGGAGATCTTTTCATCTTGCCTGAAACAATCCCTTGCATGTACCACTTTCCAAGGCCTTACATTGCAATTATGCTTTATAAATGGCATGCAACGCTAAAAGTAAGGTCTGGCGCTGCAGCCCATTCCTTCTTTTCTCGCAATGCTGACTCCGACTTCGGCTAGAACTTTCGACTGCGAGCAATTCCTTCTCCGACTTCGCAGCCACGCCTAAAAGTTCTTTTGTATACGATAAATTCTTTCAGAACTGAGATAAAACAGCCTCACACCTCGATGCTAGTAAGGGCTACGTCAGTTTTTTAGGCATTCGCTTCCAGTTAGGCACATGGGTAACTCGAAACAACACATAGTTGGAAAGTGAAACGTGACTATCCACCTCTGCCCCTTTTCCCCTTCAATCCAAGCTGCGCGGTATGTTATGATCTTACTCTATCAATTATCGTGTCACCGAAATCGGGACAAGCACCTTTTTACGTTGTGAGGAGGCACAACAACGGCCTAATGAAATTACGCGTTAAAGGCATTTTCACCGAGTTCACTCTATATGTAAGTTATGCTTTTTGTTAACGTGGATTGTTCCTTCTGCCCTATTCTGATTCCTGTCCGTCCGATGTCCAGTCAGGCCCGGACCGGACGGGGTGAGACTGACAAGTCCCGTTGGCCACAGCTCGGAGGTCCGGATGCTGGGATGGAACACGCCGGACGACTACCTGACGCACGTCAACGAGCATTGGCTGTCATTCCGCGCGCCAGACCCGGTGGCCCACTACGTACTCGGCATGCTCTACATCATCTTCCACATTGTCTCCGTCCTCGGCAACGGCAGCGTGCTCTGGATCTTCCTCACGACAAAGGAACTTCGCACGCCTTCCAACCTGTTCATCATCAACCTGGCCTCCATGGACTTCCTGATGATGCTGAAGACACCCATCATGATCTATAACAGCTTCCACCAGGGCCCGGCGCTGGGCTGGGTGGGCTGCGCCGTGTTTGCCACTATCGGTACCATATCCGGCGCCGGTTCGTCGTGCGCCAACGCCCTCATCGCCTACGACCGTTACAAGAAGATCTCGGACCCGATGGGTGTCGACTTTCGCATGACGTGTCGCCGGGCGCTCTGCCTGATCGCGCTCATGTGGGTGTACATCTCTCCGTGGGTGGTGCTGCCTCTGCTGGAGTTGTTCAGCCGGTTCACCCCCGAGGGCTTCCTCACATCGTGCGGCATCGACTTCCTGTCTGACGCTTGGGACACGCGCGCCTACATCGCCGGCATCTTCCTCACTATGTACGTGCTGCCCGTGCTGTCCATCGCCGTCTTCTATATCCGCATCTTTATGCACGTTTCAGCGCACGAGAGCACCATGCGCGCCCAGTCGGCACAGATGAACGTCAAGTCGCTGCGTGCCGGCGATGACGGCGACATGCGCCAGGAGCTGCGCGTCGCCAAGGTGGGCGTCATGCTGACAGCGCTCTACCTGTTCGCCTGGACGCCGTATGCGGCCGTGGCCTTCCTGGGGGCGTTCGGCGGCAAGGCCTACGTCACGCCGCTCGTCTCCATGATTCCGGCGTGCACGTGCAAGACGGCCGCCTGCCTGGACCCGTTCGCGTACGCCATCAGCCATCCGGCGTACCGGCAGGCGCTGGGACGCCGGCTCGGCTGCGGCCAGGAGGCGCCCACCACCGCGTCGGCCGTTACCGCCAGCCAGAAGGGCGTGGACGACGTCGTGTCGACAACGCCTGCCTGAATCGGGCCCACATTCCAACAGTCCGGTCGGGCCGGGTCATGCAGCGAGTGCGCTGTCTTACTTTTACAGGTATAGCTTGAAACTGGCGTTCCCAGATTCGACCGCTAACAACCGCAATATTAATGAACCGTCACGACGATTGGCGAGGATTTGGAATGCTATTTATCTACTGCATTATTCAGTAATGGTGTAGCTTCTGTAGATAAAAGAAGCTACGACGCAGGGTGACAGCTGTAATGACGATTCCACAGATAACAGTAGGTCGACTGTTATCTATTATGCATGCCTGGGGGTGCATATGTGTGTATGTCAGGCATTCCTTGCGACATAAGCCAAGTATAGCGATGAATCCTGCACCGTGTTTATATGCTTCTACACTAGAGATATTGCGGCTGCAGCATTGCGTGATACTGATATTCTTGATAACATGGTACATTGCATCCACTTTGAAATTCCTTTAACGAAAAATAATGAACAAAACTAAATGCTAGCATGAACACCAGATACCTTTAGGTTTTATCAGGGAGTCGAGAGTGTCGCCCTAAATTATGCGCCATGTAGGTTATATAATATACTTCTTTTAAATATTTCATTCGGCTCAGTAATGAAAATTGGCCAAGTCCTTTCAAGCTTGCAGCTGCCTTTTTCATATGCATAACCGCCTACGCAGCACTTACAACACCGTGTCAACAAAATGCTGAACTTCGCGATCCGTACTGTCACATTAAAAGGCAAATTTGACCATGTGTCAGCCGCACGTAAACTTAGTTTACGTGCGGCTGACACATGGTTCAATCAGTTCAATCGTTTTGAGTTGACCTCGCGATTAAAGCATAAAGGCTAGCCATTAGTCTATCCCAGAAACAAATACACCCTTCGCATTTGTTCGCGGCATTCGTGATAACTGCGGTTCAAAAGCATGGGAACACAGCATAAACACAGCCAGTCTTCCAATTGGTATTGTTGGGTCCAGATGGCAGAAAGATGGCAGAAAGTTTTTGAAGGTAGGTATAAAAGGAACACTTCCCCAAAAGCAACTCCAAAATCCAAAATATTACGTTTCCACTTTTTGATCCTTTTTCAGCTCTTGAAAATACTTCACCTTTTATCTAACAGAACTTGATTGTCTTTCAAAGCCAGAAAATTGTAAAGGTTGTATAGATAAGGGCTTCGTGTGCTGCTCAGCCAAAAAAGTTTACAATTTGCCTGGAGACAGAGCCAGTATGCCAGCTTATACAGTTGGAGACAGCGTAGACATTTTTTTCACCTCTGCGTAAACAGCTGGGCTGGATGTCGTTCGGCGACTTTGTAGAGTACAGGGATTGTGTCCTAGTACATAGGCTCATCTATTACATCGACGCACCTTCTAAGATCGCAGGTCTGCGCCCGGGCGGAAATCTCCGAGCGGACCACTCGCGCGACTGCCGACGGTAGGCTCCATTTACAGCGGTGCCGGCTAGAGGCCACGCGGAGGACTGCGCCTGTGCGCGCATTCCGTACGTGGAACCTCCTGCCGAACGAGACTCGGCGCAACAGCAAACCGGAATCTTTCCAAGCCGAGGTGAAGACGATGCTCGAGGGCCGAGCGTAGGTAGATCCACCACCGTTTACTTTTACACCTGCGCTTTTACATGCTTTATATTTAGCTATTTTAGCTTCTTCCGTCACGCTTTTTATCTTTTGCTGATGTGAATATCGTGTATGTACGATTAGATATGTAGGCATGTACGAGTCCCTACGCTCGTATGCCGCGCTATTTTATCATTTTAATGTCATGTACACAGACACAGTGGCGGTAAAAGCCAACGATTGTTGGATCCCACTACGATGCGCAAATAAATAAATAAATAAATAAATAAATAAATAAATAGATAAATAAATACATAAATAACTGCTGTTGATGTCTGTAATATTCAATCATCCGGTATTCATGACGTGTAAGTATGTGTAAATATTCCTGTCTCGCATGTTTATTCAAACCGGCCAAACAGTGGCTTCAACCGATCAGTAGTGAACAATGCCAGCGGGACCACCCGTATTCCCATCGGGACCTGCCTTCTTCTTCTTCTGCGCGGTCGCGGGCCGCGCCTAGGGCGCGGCCGGCGGGGGCGGGTCGGTGGCGACCTGCACCCACCCCACTCTCTTCAGAAACTCGATGATGTGTTGGGCCGGCCCCGAGAGCACTTCCGCCAGGGTCGGACAGTGCCCTCAGAAGCCGGCCATCGCCGCCAAATGCGCAGGGCACCCGGTCAGGAGGTGCTCCGTGTCCTCCTCCTCCTCGCCGCAGGCTCGGCAGGTCGGGTCTTCGACCAAGCCGAGGCGATGAGCTCTGGCTCGCACCAGTGTACAGTAGCCGGTGCGAAGCTGGGACAGGGTGGCCTGGCCTCACCTGTCCAGCTCGTCGTGGCTCGGAGTAGGGTCTCGGTGAGGGTGCCGCTGCGCCCGTGGGGAGGCCAGCTCCGATGTCCAGCGAAGGATGGTTTTTCGCGCGCTGGAGAGGTCGATCGGGGCCTCCTCTTGAGCGCAGTCGGCGGCGGCTTGGTTGGCGAGGCAGTCGGGTCGGCTGCCTCGTTGCCGGCGAGGTCGGCGTGGCCAGGGACCCAGTGCAGGGTGATGTGGCTGACCCTGTGGCTGTCAGCGCGTCTATTAGGCCCCAGACGCGCTGACCGATGGCCGACTGTTGGTCATCCGGGCCGCGGCTAAGTAGCTGGAGCCCCGACCGGGAGTCTGTGCAGAGCAGCACTCTCTTGATGAGTGCTCTAGAGGGGACCGGTAGCTCATGGAGGCATGTCAGAGCCTCCGTGATTGCCACCAGCTCCACCCTCATAGGTACTGCTGCACACTCGACCGGCCGGTGCCACGCGCTCGATTGTGCGTCCCTCGTGGTGGAGCTCCAGGACCGCTCCACCGCCGCCTTGGATGGTGCCCTCCTTGGCGGATCCGTCAGACCAGATGGTACAGTCTGGATCGGGGACGAGGGCCAGCGCCGCTAACGCCGCCTCCTTACTCTTTTCCGGCAGGTCTGTCCTCCTTGTGGGCTGCGGCAGGTCCAGCACGAAACCGACGGCGTCTCCACAGTGGTGCCAGGGTGGTGCTCCCTGGTAGAGTGCCAGGGGCTCCAATGGGAGGTCGCTCAAGCCCACCCTGTCGCAGACCCACCTACCGACCCGGCGAAAGCATGGCTTGAATGAGAGGGTCGCGTCCTCGTCTGCCGGTGGCGGCGGTGGCAGACCCGCCTCTTCGGCAGACGTCACCGCGCGCCTCCATGCCTCGAGGGCCCGGTAGCGGAGTCTCGGTGGTGGTGTCTTGTTCAGTAGTTTGCGAGCGGGGTCTCCCGGAGGTAGACGGACTATGCGCGCGTACTCGCCGGCTGCTAGCTCCTTGGTACGGAGTGATAGCAGGGGAAGGCCTGCCTCCGCCACCAGTCTCCTTATCCGTGAGCTTGATGCAGCCGGTAATCAGGCGTGCACACTTCCGCTGCTCTACCTCCAGGCGCTCGCGAACAGCCGGTGCCGCATGGGTGGAGTAGATGACCGCCCCGTAGTCGAAGAGGGAGCGCACGTAGCTCTTGTAGGCGATGCAGAGTGTGCTACAGTGGCTTCCGTAGCTCCTTCCGGCGATCGCTGATATGCAAGCACGGCGCTTTGCCATCTTCTCTCTGAGGGCGGCGCTGTGGGCGGCAAATGTCGGCTGGCAGTCCAACTTCAGGCCGAGGAAGGTGGGCGTCTCCTCGTAGCCTAGCAGATGGTCGCAGAAGCGAGCTGGGGCTTGACCTTGCCGCCGCACTTCTTGGGGTCCAGCGTGAAGGTGGTCATCACGCACTTGGATGGACTGGGTTGGACATTCCAAGTCTTCACCCAGCGGCTGACTCCAACAGGCTGACAGGCTGACCGGCTGACAGGCTCCAACCGGCCCATCCAGGGCCGATTGGAGCCTGTCCGTACACTCCTACAGAGAGCGACCCGTCGCGAGAAGAGCCACGTCGTCCGCGAAGAGGGAGACTGTTGAGCTCGAGTCTCCGGCCCGGAGTCGGTCGTCGATGTCGTTGCAATAGATGAGCCAGAGGAGAGGGACGAGCACGCTGCCCTGCGGCAGGCCCCCCTGGAAGACCCGCTACCGGGAGGCTGACGTGCCCCATCTCACTCTAGCGCGCCGGTCGCTGAGTAGGGCCCTGATCCAGCGTGTAGCACAGTCCGGTACACCCAGTCGCCGCATCTTAGCGTACAGCGCATCCCGCCACACCCGGTCGTACCCTCGCGCGTAGTCCAGGAGGACGAGGATGGCTCGCTGAGGCTTCTTGGACTCGAAGCCGTCAAAGATGGTCTAGGTGACTCGGGCTAGCTGGTCCAGTGTATAATGGCCCCTCCGAAAACCGGCCTGGTTTCGGTTCAGCTTTCCGGCGCGCTCGAGCCAGTGTTGGAGACGATGCTGCACGAGTCGTTCAGCGAGCTTTCCGATACAGCTGTGCAAGCTGATCGGTCTGTAGCTGCCGGTCTCGCTCGGCGATTTCCATTTCTTGGGAATAGCGACTATATCCACCGCCCTCCATGACGCGGGAACCTCCCCGGTGCGCCAGCTCCACTTCAGCACCTCCAGCAGGTGGCGTTCCGCTGAGGGGCTGAGTTGGTGGAGCATGCCGGTGGTCACTTGATTGACCTCGGGGCTGCGTCCCTTCCGCAGTTTCCTGATGCCGAGCAGGAGCTCTCTGCGGGAGAAGGGCGAGCAGAAGGCGTCACGACCGCCGCTGCAGCACGTCTGGCTCGAGGCTCGTCTAGCCTCGATCTTGATGGAATGATCTGAGGTCTTGTCCTTGGGCAGGCGGGACACCTGCGCGTAGGCCTGACAAAAGAGTTCTGCCTTCTCTTTGTCGGTGACGGCTGGTCTCGTTGGTTGCGCTGGCTGTCCCTCTCCGTGCCCGGTCTTGAGATAGCTACGGCCGGCTTTGCTGGAGGTCGCCGGCCGTCCATAGTGCGGATCAGGTGCCACATGTCTCCGTCCGGCTTGAGTTCTGCCGCCTTTTGACGGAATAAGGCGGTCTTCTCGTTGTCCACGACTTTGTCGGCCGCTGCCCGCTCCTCCTGGTAGCGCAGAATGTCCGCGCGGGAGCGGCTACGGGATGCAGCTACCGTGCCTCTTCCAGTCGGTTGGTTGCATCCTGGCAAGCTTGATTCCAGAAGGGCGGGCGTCGTCCTCGGCCATTGCCGAAGGGGATGCTGGCCCTGGCCGCCCACAGGATAGTGGCTGCTAGCCTGTTGGCGGCCTCGTTCAGGGAGGTTGGCCGCGCTGACCAGGCGGTGATCCGGTCCAGCTCCTCCCGAAACTTGGGCCAGTCCGCACTCCGGTGGGAGAACCGGCCTCGGCCTTCCCGTCGTGGACGTTGCACAGACGAAGACAGTGTGACGAGGATCGGCAGATGGTCAGAGCCGATTCCTCGTTGCGTCACCCAGGTGACGTCTCTCGATCGCAGGAGGTCCCTGGAAGCCAGTGAGACGTCTGGTGCAGAGACTCCGCCGGTGCTGGGGTTTTGCCTGGTGCACCCACCGTCATTGAGGATGGTCATGCCGTTATCGACGGCCCAGTCCTCAATGGCCTCTTCGAGGGCTGTCTCGGGGTGGTAGGCGTCCAGCTGAGGCTGTGTGCGTTGAAGCCGCCGCACACCACGGCAGGTTGCTCCAGTCTGATCCGTCCGGCTGGAATCCCTGCTCCTGGGTGCCCTGGCCT